GTGCAGGCGCAGGTGCAGTCCCAGCTGCAGGCGATGGCGCAGCAGCAGCAGCAGTGGATGCTGATGTATCAGCAGTACCTACAGCAGCAGGTCATGGGGCAGATGCAGTCGCTGCTTCACCAGGTGCGCGGCTCCGCGCGCACGGATGGGCGCGGCCGCGCGTGCGCGCACACGTGTACGCTTGCGTGTGTGTGCGTGCGCATCGCGTGTGCGTGGCATTGCATTTGATTGTGGGGGGGGGGATCGCCGCAGGGTGGCGGGCTGGCGGCCAGGTCGGGGTGAATTTGGTGAGGGTGTATGCCCGTGCAGCAGGGGACTGATTCTGATTGACTTTCAAAAGTGATTCTTTTTGATTCGGGATGTGATGCATCCAGGCGGTGTGTTGGTCAGGGGTATGGAAGGCTAAGTGTGGGAAGGGCTGCGCCTGCTGCCCCGCAAGCGCGGCGCTTGCGCGGCGGCCGTCGCCCCAAACCGGCCGCTGAACTCTGGCGGCAGGATGAGCTGAGAGGCTGCCTGTAGTGCGCTGCAGGTCGGCGGGCCGCTCGCGCCGCTCGGCGCGCCCTGTTTCCGGGCCATGGCCGGCTCGCGCCCGTTCTACCGCCCCCCTCACCCTGCCCACGTCTCTTGCCTCCCCCCCCCCACCTTCTTGGTGCCCCGCAGAGCCAGCAGTCTCAGCAGGAGGGCATGACCTCCATGATTAAGCAGATGCTCAACTCAATGCAGCAGCACGGCGGCCCCCCGCCGCCCGGCGGCGCCCCTGCCGTGGGCCCCGGCGCGTCTCCCAGCCCCGGCGGCCCCGCAGTTGGCGGGGTGGCCCCGCCACACCTGCAGGCGGCCCCGCAGCCCGACGCGGCGGCGGCAGCCGCGGCAGCTTACCCATCTCAGCAGCACGCGGGGCAGCCGGGGGCGCCTGGCGCGGCGCCGCCGCAGCACCGCCAGCCGCCGCAGCAGCAACAGCAACAGCAGCACCAGCACCAGCAGCCGCAGCAGCAGCAGCGCCAGGGGCAGAAGCAGCAGCACCAGCAGCAGCAGGCGCATCATGGGCTGCCAGATCACCTTTATGATGACGAGGCGCCGCCAGCTGGCTTCGGCCCCCCCGTCCCCGGCGCCGTGCCGCGCGGCGGCGGCGGCGGTGTTGCCACGGGCGCGCCACCGGCGCTGGGGCCAGGGGCGGCCTCCGCGGCTGCTGTCGCAGACGAGGGGGTCCCGCCCGGCTTTGTGCGCGGCGGCCGAGGCAGCGGCGGCGGCGCGCCGGGGGCGGCGGGGCCGGCTGGCTTTGGCGGGCCGGGATACCCTGCGGGTGGGAGGGGGCCGCCTGCAGGCGGACACGGCGCGGCTGGGCCGCCGCCGCCCGTGCAGCACCAGCAGCAGCAGGTCCACCAGCAGCAGCACCAGCAGCAGCAGCACCAGCAGCAGCAACCGCGCCAGCAACAGCAGCAACAGCAGCGACAGCTGCTGCCACAGCACCACCAGCCGCAGCCGCCGCCGCACCAGCAGCAGCAGGCGGCCCCACACCAGCACCTGCAGGCGCCTCCGCAGCAGCCGCCGCCTCAGCAGCCGCAGCAGCCGCGGCAGCAGCAGCGGGTGTTGGTTCCTGTGCCGGCCGCGTACGGCTACTCAGCGGCTGGCTGCGGCCGCGGCGGCGTGGGCCCGTCGGCGGGACGGGGGGGCCCGCTTCCGCAACAGCAGCAGCAGCAGCAACAGCAGCCCCCTGGGCCTGGGGGCAGGGGCCCCGGCGGCCTTGGAGCGGGCGGGGGCCGTGGTGGCGGTCCATCTGACGGCTGGCCGCGTGGCAAGGACCAGTTTGCTGCGCCGTCGCACGCCGGCCCAGCGCGCGGCGGCGCGGCGGGGCCTCAGCCCCCGCCCCAGGCGCACCATCCGCAGCAGCAGCAACACCAGCAGCAGCAGCAGCAGCAGCAGCAGCAGCCCGCGCTGCGCGGGGCAGCGGCGGGCGCCCGCAGCGCCGGCGGGGGCGCTGGCGCGCCGCCGCCGCAGCCGGCGTCGCCGGCCCGCGCCGGCGCTGTGCGCAAGGTGCCCGCGCCGATCGGTGCGCAGGGCACTGCTCTGCTGTCGCGGGCGCTTGCAAGCCTGAAGGAACCGCTCTCGCCGCCGGCCGCGGCCCACGGCGCGCACGGCGGGCCCCGCGCCGCCGCGGCGCAGCCGGCGCCCAAGGGGCCGCAGCACCCGCCGCAGCAGCAGCCACAGCAGCAGCAGCAGGCGGCGGCGGCGGCAGCGGGCGCGCAGGGCGAGGGCAAGCGGGCGAAGAAGGCTGCTGCTGCTGCGGCGGCGGCGACGGCGGCGGCACCGCCGCCCAGCAATGCCAAGGACAGAGGCGCCCCCGCGCCGGCGGCGGGCGCAGCCAGCAGCGCCAAGAAAGCGGATGATAAGAAAGGGGCAGACGCGAAGACAAAGGACAGGGAAGGCAAGGACAAGGCCACCGCGGCCGCGGCGTCCGGCAAGGAGAAAGACGGGAAGGAGAAAGGCAAGGGGGCGAAGCAAGCGGCTGCCGCCACGGGCGCCAGCGCGTCCGTGGCCGCGGCCGGCAACAAAGAGAAGGCGCCGGCCACCAAGGCGGCGGCGGCGCCGGCGCTGCGCCTGGCGCCGCGGCGCCAGGGGGTGCCTCTTGAGGTGTATGAGGCTGTGAGGCGCGCGCTGCTCGCCGCCGCGGCGTCAGCGCCCGCGGCGGCGCCGCCGGCCAGGGCGGCCGGCGGCGACGGCGGCGGCGGCGGCGGCGGTGGCGGGATCGCACCGGAGGTGAGGGCGCTGGTGCGCGCGGCGATCATTGCAGTTGGCGGCACCCCCACCGGCCGCCAGGGCCCGCGCGGCAAGCGCGGCTC